TTTTTCGTGGCGTCTGTACGTACGTACGTATCTCGCATAACTCAAAAACGAGTAGCCTCAGAACGTTGAAATTTTGTATATAGGACTAGTATAACTTGCAGATGTGCACCTCGTATTTTGGTTTCAGTATTGTAATCGTGAAAATTTTCAGGCATTATATTTTACCGAAAATATTCATTTTGACCACTATCGTATGCAATTTAACGATGTTTTTGAGCGACATCTGTACGTAAGGACAGAATAAAGGACTCTTTTGTCCCAGAAAAATTATAAAACTGATTTAAAATGAATTCTGAAGAGAATTTTTCGTGGCATCTGTACGTACGTACGTGTCTCGTATTATTCAAAACCGAGTAGCCTCAGAACGTTAAAATTTTGTGTATAGAACTGCTATAACATGTAGATGTGCATCTCGTATTTTGGTTGCCATCGGCCGCACCAAACGTATATAAATCTATTTACATATATATCCACTCTGTTACCCGGCTCAGTGATCTCAGTTTCTTTACTCTTATATGTTTGTAAAATATGCTTTTTTTATTTTAAAAATAATTGAATTATGTTGTTCTTATCTTTCGGTTAATTTTTTTATGCCTTTAGTAAATCTGCATGCAATATTTGTGGAGTTATCAACAATTTAAAAGTTGTTTAAGTTCAGCTAAGCATAATGAATTTTGCGATGGTGGACATGTTTGTTTACATTTTAAACTTGGCAAAATTGCGGATTTATTGCCAGTTTATAGAAACTAAGCTTCGCAACAACAAAGATAACGCCTTCTTTCATTATTGCGAATTAAATTTTGTTTAATCCATTCTGGAATTTGTACGAGGAAATAAGTGTTTAAAATTTACTTTGTAATTTTTAATATAGATATTTTGAGTTTTTAAGTATTTTTGATTTGTCGGGAAGTGAGAACTGAATTAATTGAATGAGAAATACTAAAATCGTCTGTGAAAATTGTTTCTTTTTTGTTTTGTTTTCTTAGTTTCTTTTATACATCGTTGTAGATTTATTATAGTATTTGAATAGAACATGTGGCAACGATTAGATAATTCTTTAAACGATATAAATTTTGTGCATTCTGAGTTATAATATGAACGAAATGTAACGCTGTTAAGTGAACCAAGAGCCAGAGTGTGGCTATGGTAAAAAAAATAGAGTGAATTTTAAAGAACTAATCAAACTTCAACCCTCTAGTGTCTGCTGAGTTTTCTTCCCATTCCTGGGAGCTAAAATATAGTGCAATTTTTTTCTGTTTTACAGAATCTATTTATTTATCGGATCACTCCTTCTTTTACTGTAATATTACATTGAGTCTCATGGACTTGCAATGTTAAAAACATACTCCCATCCATTTAAATGTTAGTGGTAATTTCCTATTTGCTATATATTTCTGTTTGTGGGTGAATACTGTACAGGAAAAATCTGCTTTCGAAAATAGAGAAAATATCTATTTTTTAAAGCACTTTTTTAAAGCACTAATAGACGCACATAAAAATAAAAAATAAAATCTGAAAGGTTTCAGATTTTAAATTACGACCAAAGGGATGTTGTTTTTTTACCGTTTTGTGTATTACCTTTATTTATTAAGGATCATATTGTACTTCCTCATCATATTCTACGTACCATAAAATTTAGTTCAACAGCAATATCGCAAAATAATTTTTAAAAGAGCATATCTTTAGAATTTCCAATACACAGTCTCACGCGCTGAAGATACGAAAAAAATGCTTTTTCGTACAGTATTGCCATTGCTCGCTTTGAAATCATTGAGTTTTGTTAATCAAAAATTCGTTGAAGTGTTACAAAATATGAAGGGATAATAAAAAAATTTCAAATTAGGGCTTCCACATGCCCAAATTCTATGGATGAATACGTTATTCAAATTTTGATGGCTCTAGGTACCGCTGTTTTATCACAATGCGAGAAACACCCATACTTTGATGCAGATTCTTTATTATTTAATTTCTTTAAATATAATACAGGGCTCTAATATTTGGTGGCAACAATTTGAAAAGTGATTCGTCGTTTATAGCTTTCAACGCAAAATGCCAAAACGAAATTAAAAGTCCTTCAGGGGAAATTGCCACTTTAGACTAAAAAAGAGGAGAGATGTTCAATATTTTCAGTAAGCAAATTTCGTAGCTTTATAGAATAAAATGTATTGCCACTTGAGGATAATATCTGTTTTAAATCTCGTATGTAAACCATCCACTAAAATAAATGCACAGCTATTTTTTACTTCCTTGTACGAAGTAAAAAGGAAGTATTCTAATGCCGAAAAGTTTCGGGCAGCATATTTCAACGAAAATATCCATTTTGACCGCTATCGAATGCAATTTAACGATGTTTTTGCGTGACAAATCTGTACGTAAGGACAGAATAAAATACTCTTTCCCTTCAAAAAAATTATAAAACTGCTTTAAAATTAATTCCGAAGAGAATTTTTCGTGGCGTCTGTACGAACGTATGTACGTACGTGCGTGCGTACGTACGTATCTCGCATAACTCAAAAACGAGTAGCCTCAGAACGTTGAAATTTTGTATATAGGACTGCTATAACATGTAGATGTGCACCTCGTATTTTGGTTGCAATCGGCCGCACCAAACGTATATAAATATATTTACATATATATCCACTCTTTTACTCGGTTCAGTGATCTCAGTTTCTTTACTCTTATATGTTTGTAAATTGTACATTTTTGCTTTAAAAATGATTGTATTATGTTGTTTTTATCTTCCGGTTAAGGTTTTTATGCCTTTAGTAAATCTGTATGCAATAATTTTAGAATTATCAACAGTTTTAAAGTTGTCTAAGTGCCGCTAAGCCTTTTTTTTATGGCGGCCATTGATGTTTATATTTGAAACAGGAGACTAGTGGATTTGTTGCCAATCTAGAGAAACTTAGCTTCCCAACAACAAAGATAACGCATTCATTTATTATTGAGAATTAAATCATGCTTAATCCTTTCTGGAATGTTTTCGAGGAAATAAGTGTTTAAGATTTACTTCGTAATTTTTAATATAGATACTTTGAGTTTTTATGTATTTTTGCCTTCTCGCGAAGTGAGAACTGAATTAATTAAATGAGAAATACTCAATCATCTGTGAAAAACTGTTTCTTTTTTGTTTTGTTTGCTTAATTTCTTTTATACATCATTCTAGCTTTATTATAGTACGAATAGAACATGTGGCAACGATTAGATAATTCTATTCTTAAAATGATATAAATTTTGTGCATTATCAGTTATAATATGAACGAAATATATAAGTTAACTGTTATATAATTATTGGATTATATAACTTTTTAACTTAGTTTTATATACAGTTTTAACTAGTTTTCCGTATATAATTATTATATAAGTTAACTGTTAATAATTATTAATACTGTTAAGTGAATTCTAGCGCCAGAGTGTCGCTATGGTAAAACAAATACTAGAGTGAATTTTAAAGAATGCATTTATTCTATTGTGGTTTATGCGCTGTCGGCGGAGTAGATTTAATTCAATCCAATAAGTTTAAATGAAATGCAAGAAAAAATGCGTATAACTTAATATTCCGTACAAGGAAGTCATATGGTGTACACATCCGATTTTTTTCTTTATTAAGTAAATTCGTGAATCTCCGAGGTATTAATTTACGATGAAATAACATCATAGCAATAGTTTACTATTTGGTTTTGTAATTTTGAACATTTTTTTTTTAATATCATGTTTTATATGCTCTTTATCTCTAGCTTATCTTGAACTAATTTTTAAAAAAGATTTTAGCAAATGGCTTAGCTTAAAATTATTTCACACTTTAAAACTGAAATCTGCATATTAAACGAATTCTTTCAGATATTATTTGTTCTTAAACGTTTTAATTTTGCAATAAAATTTTATGTTTTGAAAGTGTGTCAGTGTTTAAAAACCTTGATTTTTGTACTTTTTTATTTTATAACCTTTACACTACACTGATTTGATGTGTAAGACTGTAATCTAAAGTTTCACACTGTAGTTCTCCCTTGTGAGCAGATACATTTTATCTACAAAAGTCATTCACAATGTGTTGAATAATTTTATTTCTCTTTAAAATTCTAAAGTTACAGATCGATGAGAAAATGAAGATGCGATAAAAACATTTACAGAAGTTTATTTTTTCCATACTCATATGTAATCAATAATAAATATACAAATTCAGCTTCCAATAAATATGATAAAGATTTCAACTGTACATCAGAGCGGAGAGTGAGAATGAATGAAATAATTGATATGTTTATACAATATATGAATAAAACAAGATTCTTTTTACTTTTAACATAATGCATCCAGTGCTGCAGCCCGTTTCGCAGCAGTTACTTCAATTTTTAATTGACAAAAATTACGATTTCAGTTCAAATGGCATATGCTGAAAGAAACATAAATAGTTTCAACAGGTCAAGAACCTGTTTCACTTTAATTTAATAGAATAATTCATCTTTTAGATATTAAACAAGCCCTTGCTTGCTTTCTATAATAATGCTTGAAAATGTAAAAATTATCCTTCTGATAATCCATTTTGGTAAATCACATGTATAAATCTGTATTAATTTTGTACAATTTCTTTAATTAAAATACAAATATCATTTGAAGTATTTGCATGTAAAATGAAATATATTTCTTCCAAAGCTCTAATCATTTCTAACAATAAAATTTCTTTAACCCTTTGCGGCACAGTGTGTCCGGTTTGGACACACCTAAAAATTTCCTTCTGTACGCACTGAAAAATTGAATGAAAAAGGATTTATAGGTTACTCTGAACCTTCTTTATTTATAGTAGATGGCAGCTCAAGACAAACCAGTCCATATATTTTAGCCATGTTTAGTTTTTTAAGACCCTCATTTTTCAAAGAAATCTTCCAGGTTTTTTTTAGGATATAAAATTTATTGTTGGAAAAGAAATTTCTATGTTATTTTTTTTTTTTTGGCTGTATGCTAATCCCCTTATTCTATATTAGTTTTAAATTTTTACCTTGAAATCTTGCCTAAAATCAAACGGTGTGCCCAGAGGAGACATGAAAAATGAGCAATGCCCTTGAACCTCGACCTCTCGAATGCGCGCCAAGTGTGCTACCATTACACCACGAAGGCATGCAGAAAGGAGATAGAAAATACCTTCCAACAGCAAATTTACGATGAAATTTGTCTTTTTTTATTAACCAATGCGCATTTTATCAGATTTTTAAGTTCTGTTTTTTTTTTAACTCAATAGATAATAAAAGTGAAATTATGTAAATTACATGCATAAGAATTATTATTTTTTATTAAAATTCCAACAACTTAAATATTTTAAGATCGTTCCAGAGCTTACTTCACTTTCTTATTTGGCTTCAACATATGCCATTTGATAAGTTTTTAAAACAAATTCAGTTTAATAAAAAATTTATTTACAAATCAGAAAATGAAAAAACTTTTATTTTTAAGAACATAAACTACTAAAGGGAAATTGTTCTTACATTTCACTCTCCTATATCAATAAACGAAAAGATCTCATATACACAAGAGAAGGCAAACATCTGTGTAGCCATGATTTGAAACAAACATTAAAAACATCATAATATAAAATAAATCTATATCTATATCGCACTATATGCGACACATTTTGTACAATTGAACAATACATTTATTTTCTTTGGATTTTCAACGTGTATTGAACAGCATTTAGAAAGACATGTCTTCAGAATCTTTTCCTTCGAACTAGTTTTGAATGAGCGCTTTAAATTAATATATTAATATCGGGGAAATTTTACCAGTACATCTAATATAGTTTTTTCACAAATGATGCATTGACAGTTATTTTTTAAAATAATATAAAATACAATAAACATAAAAATAATTCTTAAAAAATTTGCACAATGTTAGCTATGAGAACAATCATATCACACGCAGTTTCATCTGATTAGCAAACAATCATAAAATAATAATTATGAAGTTTTTCTTAATTTTTGCTGCACTTCTGATATACTATTTAACGTGACTAGGATGTAAGAATATTCACTAGTATTCAAAATAAACGCATCAAAACAATCAATGATTTTATTATATATCCGTACCACAAATTAACAAAGAAATAACATCTTGAAGAGTGAATAAGTTCGTTTGATGGAATGCAACATTGATTATGGCTTACAAATGAAAAAAGTCTGGTATCTATTTTTCCTCTGAAAAGTAACAGCAACAAGACATTATTGGAAATGTTATTACAATTACTTTAAGCACCAAGTCGTTTTGAACTCTTTCATTACGCGAAAAGATTTAAATAGTTTTTATATATTTTCCTTCAAGAACACATCATTCGTAAAGAACGGCGCTAAAAAAAGTCCGAAGCAGCATAGATGTAACATCCATAAGTCACATGTCGATACTCAAAACACGCAGCACGTCGAATACAGCTGACTAGCTTCAACCACATAATTCCTTTTATTCGCGATATGAAGTGCTCGAATAAAATTATTTTACTCAAGTGAGTTAAATGTTCGTCAGTTTTTTTGCATTCAGTCTTTGTTACATTTTGATTCACGTTATTTTATGTAAAAATTCTCAATCAATCAGAGCAGGAAACTCGTCCTTATTGCTTCTGTTTTCAGCAGAATTATTTTGTTGGTCACACTGATGAGAATTTTAACACATTGCAGAAGTAGAACCATTTTTGGAAATGTTTACTATATAGTCACTACTTACAGAGTCTTTATCAAGTGTCAATCCACTTTCACGTCCTCTGGAGTATGTGGAAGGGAACTGTTCTGGCGTTGTAACTCATCGTCACTATGATATTCCTTTGACTCATCTAGATCTTCATCTTCTACATTAATATGACGCTTGTGGCCATTTTCTTGAACGCCATTGCTCAAGTCAAGCTTCCGATTGAGCTGAAGCATGACTTCGTAGGCCAGAGCCTTTTGGTGTAGATTGAGGGCGACATCTCCATTCTTCAGATGGTTGTTGATAGTCGGTTGATTCCTTGTCGAATCTGGGCTTTTATTACTTCGTTCCGTACTAGGTGAAGAACTGTTGAAGTTAGACTGGTCATCGCTGCAGTGCCTCTTGCTTGAAGGTTCATCATCGGGATCAGATACGTTTATGCCGCCATCAGTTTCCTCATCCAAGTTGTCACTTTGTCCGCTGACTGGACTACTGTTCTGACGAGGTGACAAAGATGACGACATCATCAACACTTCCCGATCTCGTTTCCTGTCGTCCAACGAAGTCATGAGTGACATTGGATTGACAGCATTATGAGCTCCACTATTAGTTACTTTTCCCATGAAATTTCTAATTTCATCAAAGTATGCTTCATCTTTATCGTCAGCTTCATTACCCTTCGGAGAATCGTCAAGAATAGTTGGACCGTCAGCTTCGTGTTTTTTCAAATGTCTGTCAAGGTTCGTTTGTTGTCCGAAGCAACGATCACAAAGAGGGCATTTGAAAGGCTTCTCTTTATTGTGAATATTACGTACATGCCTCTGGAGATTGGACGAGATACTAAATGATCGTTCACAATATTTGCACTTGTAAGGTTGTTCACCAGTGTGTGTGCGCAGATGTCTGGTGAGGTTAGCTGACCTGGGAAAAATCTTTCCACAGAACTTACACGAGTACCTTTCTTTGGCTTTACTTAAATGAGGTGACATTATTTCGTGCATAGGTTTACTAACTTTCTCCATATGTGCTCGCATGAAATCGAAAGAGGGGTTAGCAGATAGAAGGGGTCCTAAAAAAGGATAGCGGGGAGGAAATGGTGGCATCAGACGCTCTGGGCTTGGGAATAAATTGAATGCTGGTTTTTCATGTTGCAATCTATACATAGATTCTAGGAACATAGGATGTATAGGCCTGGGGTAAGCCATAGGCATTTTACTAGGAGACGGAGGTAAAGGAGGACTTTCCCTTTTCTGGAGTTCTAACTGAGGCATAGATTCTTGAACAGGTGCCAGAACGGGAGGATTATCATATTCTTTATGTCTTTCTTTCTCTTCATAAAAGAATGGTTTCTTTTTTTCAAAGTCTTCATCGGAAATGAGAGATGACTTTTTATGAGACATTCTTAAATCTAAAGGCTGATCATCAGTCTTTGGCCCATCACGCATTTTTGGATGGTAATCATTTGCTTCTTCGCAATGAATTCTGTTTTTACTATTTTGCGATAAATCAAACGGCATATCGTGATCTGTTTTAATCATTCCATTTGTAGGCATTGGCCTTAAAGGACCGTTTGATCCTACGGGAGACCTAATGAGAGATGGATCGGGACATACAGATCCCTGCTTAGGGGACCCTTGTCGGTGATTAACGAACATTGCTGCTGAATTTGTATTGTTTTCGGACGTGACTACAGGCGTCGTAGATGCCTGTCGTACTTGTGGAGAGGCTCTGGAAGATTTAACTGTATCTGCTTCCGATTCACCGTCACTAAAAGAGGAAATATCTTCACCAGCAGTGTCTTCTGACGACAGTTCTTCAGAAGCTTCTGATTCTGATATTTCAGAATTGCGCTTTTCTGTTTGTTTAACAGGTGAGTTTAGTTCCTGCTTCAAGATTGGGGTAGACTGTTGGGATTGCTGAGAGGCATTATTATTCAATAAATGTCTCTGAAAGTCCTGAGCTGCTTGAGTTGCAGCTGCTATGTTCACACCGTGGCCTGGTAACAAACCAGTATCCGGGATCAAAGGCGGCGGTGCCGGTAATCCGGGGCCGGATATGAATGGGTACCCAAATAACGAAGGAGGATATAAAGGAAAACCTGTTCGCGGATAGAATAAGAGTTGGTTGCTAGGAGGTGCTAAGCTCATAGGCACTGCCTTGCTGGAGTCGTATCCAGCAGAACCGGGATTCGTTGTTTGTGGTGGTTGTTGTTGATTTGGAATAACAGAAGAAGAAGAATTACTTGTAGGAGTGCCTTCACAAAATCGTTTATGTTTAGATAATGATGTTACGGCACTAAAAGCTTGACCACACTTATGACACTTGATTTGCATGCGACAAGTTGCATGCATACGCTTGTGGCGACAGAGGTTCGAGAACTGTGTGTAAGCTTTGAAACAAACCTCACATCGGAAAGGTTTGACACTGCTGTGAATGTGCGTATGTTGCTTTAAGCCACTTGATGTTGCAAATGTCTTCCCACACTCTGGGCAGGCGTGAGAACGAGCTCCGATATGTTGAGACCTTATGTGGCGTTGAAGGTTGCTGGGATCAGTGAAAACCTTTTTGCAGTTCTCACATACGTATCGCCGGCTCTCGTCGTGAGCGATTTGGTGGCGTATGAGGTTGGACTTCCAATTAAAAACTTTCGGGCACTGCCGACACTTGTATTCTTTCTCCCCTTGATTGCTGTCTTCAGAGAAATGACACGTCCCAATGTGCTCGTTTAGTCTAAAAAAAAAAATAAAAAGGAAATTTTGAGAATTACCTAATTTTAGTTATAAAACTTTACATAACAACTAAATACTACATAAACAAACCCAATGTACTTAATATATTTATATTTGCAGCATTTAAAGAGCTTCCTGGAAAGATAATGTATAAAATAGCTTAAAAATTACAAACTGCGCTTACAAATAAATTTTAAGAACCACACAGACACATACACACAACAACTTAAGATAACTTAAGTGCATGAAAAAATGCAGTCAAAAGTCGTTAATCCGGACTCGTCGGGACTTCGGCGATTCCGGATTATCGATTTTTTCCGGATTATAGATCATCAGTTTAAATCTCGTAAGATGGCATGCAGAAATTCTAAAATTAAAAATATGAACCGTAATTTATGAAATAAAGAACAATTATGATCTAAAGGGTATCAAAATTTACAAAAAAAAAAAGCTTAATATTTATTTGTTTACTTTATTAAACATTTCTTTCATGTCAATGTAAGTTGTTTTAAGTTGCTTTGTTTTATGTGATAATACTTTCTCTTTAATTCTATAAACAGACATAATTTCTTGTTCAGTTACAAAGTTTCGCTGTTCAAGTCCCGTTAATTACTGTGCCGAGAATACCGACTAACTTGTCAATCGAAATTGTTTCGTTTTCACTAACTTCTCTGTCACATTCTTCATGTCTTTATCCATTTTTTGCAGTAATTCCACTTTTTGTTTGATGGACATAGAAACATACTTTCGTTTTGTACGATCCTTTGGGAGCTCCAGAATCGGAAATTCTAGTTGGCATAATCGAAAGTTCAAGTTTACTTTTATAGAATTGCTCTTACAGTCTGCAAAAAATAATAAGCCGGATCCAATTCGAAAATTAAGGAACAGCGCAATCTGCAATCATTAACATTAAATGCCTTGAAAATCAGTAAATATAGATAATTTAGCCTAGCTTATACCGTCCGTTATACATAAAACGCGCACGCGAAAACGTATTCTGCGCTTGCACACACGCATATGCGCAGTCGTAAACGCCTATGCGCATGTGTCAACGCGGCGCATGCGCAGAAAGTTTTTAGCCTTGAGGTCCGGATTATAGATCATTCCGGGTTATGGGTGTCCGAATTAACGACTTTTGACTGTAAAAGTTAAAAATTGACAATAATCTAAATATTTCTCATACATTAATTCATGTAAATGCTATTACTAAATAATGAAAAACTATTTTCATTTTTTTTTTATAATCAAAGGCAGAAATAGTATTCATATTTTCTAGATAGAAGAAATGTTTATTAAAAGACAACCCGTGCTAATTAATAATACCACTTAATTTTAAACATGCTAGTTTTTAAAACTGTTTTCTACTATATGTGAAACATCTTTATCACATTAAAAAAACTGTTTTTGACTGTTCTGTTTTGATTTATCAATAAATACGCCCTGGTTTCTCAAGAAATAACTTTACTTTGTTGGAAAAACAATTTCGTGCAAAAATAAATCTAACATATGCATGATATAAATGTAAATGTATTTACATTAAAAACCTACTATTCGAAAATAATTCATCACACAATTTGCTACCGTGTATTTCAAATTATTCTACATTTGTGCGCGGGGGAAGGGGAGATTCAAACCGAAAGCTAAATTCAAAAGCAATAAATCAAGCACATTCAAGAACTTAAAAACAATAAGTAAAATTAAATCCACTTCTGATTAATTGAATTCGTCTGACATTAAGAAAATTGATAACAGAGTAATTACATTTTATACTAGCTCGTTCATCAAATAACAAACATAGAGCTATCATATAATTCCCCTCCTCCCTATTGTTGAGTGAAAAGATCGGGGCGTACTATTCGTATCAAATATTTATTTTAAATTCAGATTATTTCGAATACCCAATTCTTTTGATATGTTAAACTCCGGAACGCGAATTGACACATCTCATAACCCACTTAAAAAATGGTTTTCCCTTCCTACCACTTCAATACAAATAGACCTGATCTTAATTCTTTGAAAGACACATTATTAAACGCGACAATTATATATCTTCAAGAAGTCTGAAGAAGAAGGAGGAGTGCTGCTTAACGGTGTGTTTTAACTTTTAATGCACGCATTATTCAACTCCACGAATGCATACAACATCTCCATAACAAAGACCAAACCGGCCCCGGTGCTGAAGTGGTTGAAGAGAACTTGTATATTTGCATGGGTAGGTGTTCTATGGGAAAGTGGCCCAGCATCCTCAACTGGGTGTCACCCGATGTCCACCGCGTCGCACGATTTTGTTTACATTACGTGACCCGTTTTCACTTCAACAGAGGTGTGTGGGCGGTTATACCGCTTAGTCTTCAATTATCTCTGAACTTTCACCTTTTTTAGTGAATTTTGCAGTTATATTTGGCTTTTGTGAGCAGTTTTCTGAGGAGCGGCCGTTAGATTTTCTGGTACTTCATGCACTGGTGTTGCAGAATATACACTTTTGGGGTAATCATTAGGCGTGTAGCAAGTCGTGGTACTTTTAATCGCAGTTGTTATTTTATATTACTATCACTCCACGTGAAAGTTGTCATTGCACTTCGATTGCCTTTGTGCAAGTCATGAATAAAATTATCCTATTTCGAGTGTTTTAGTTACAAAAGATTATCATCTGATAAAACCTTTAAAGAGAGGAAAGAATACAGGAAATAATATCTATATGTTACGGTGAAACACCGAAATCTGGAGAATGTCCACTTTCACCGGTGAATGTCAACATTCACCTAGTCGCTTGGTGTATGTCCGAAATATTTTCCAACTACTCTTATTTCTGACTTACAACCGGTAAATGTCGACATTCACCATGTACTAATAGTGAATGTTGAACATATGAGAATGTTATGTTTTTCTTCTACGTAATTCAGTCGCGAAAAAAACGCACTTGAGACTTAAAATAAGAACTTAAAACTTAAGAACTTAAAACACACAGTACATTTCAAAATGAGAAAGGAAAATAATATCGAAGTTAAAAATGTTACTAATTATGTGATTCAAATCTTATTTATTGCAACAACGTAAACTATTATGACACTTTGAATTGCACAAGAGGCCCTTGTTTTTACAACTGCATTTATTTGTGTAACACTTCCTTTAGCAATGACAGCGAGTACATATACTCCTCTCTTTTCGACCTACACCAGAGCATATCTGTGATTGTCGACATACACCGGTGAGCTTCCGAATGTATAAGAATGTAATGAAATATTCGATCTTTCACCGACGTATTTGATGAATGCTGACATTCTCCGGTGAAAGTCGACATTCTCCAATTTCGGTCTCTCACGGTAACATATACATTCCACTATATTTACTTCTGATGTAGGCGAAGGAACACAAGTAGGGGATCATTTTCTTACAGCTGGCTATAGGACAAAATTATAATGTAGAAATTGTGACGCATGTGCACTCTGCACACACACAGTTCTATAATGTAGAAATTGTGACGCATGTGCACTCTGCACACACACACACACACATACACAGTTCTATAATGTAGAAATTGTGACGCATGTGCACTCTGCACACACACACACACAGTTCTATGTCTCCTGTTCTACTGGGCCGATCGAAGAATTTAATTTGCGTTCTCAAAAGCATGAATTAGGATATATATTTGATTTATATATAGCATTGTTCTAACACGAGTATTTTGACGTAAAGTCGGGCTTCTTCTGAAATGACACACCGATTTATTTTTTCCATATTTGGATTTTACGACTCAAATTATACCTAAATATTAAATTCTGTAAAATCTGATGAGAAATTTAAAAATTTATCTTGGCCAAATTTTTTCAGTTTGCGCCAAGAATGGCGACATATGTTTGGCGAAATTCTTAATTTATGGTAACCTAGTTTCCTTTCCCCTTTCACTGCGCGTGTCAGGAAAAAAACGGCATCGTTCATTTGAAATATTTTTAACAAAGTTCATTAACCGTATTTTGCGTTATTACCGCTTATAACAAATATGCCAAATTTCAAAACGCAGCAATATATATAAATTCACGTGTATCTTCGGAAATTTTGAATAAAAAAACTAGATTTGCAGGTATGCCTAGAAATACATCTACTTAAGGTTACTGTAAAAATTTTATAGGTTGCAATTTAAAATTTTTTCGAAAAATTTATAAAAATTACTAAAATATAGAAATTTAAAAACGAAATCGGAAAATATCTGGGAATTTTATTTGGATTGAACCTAAATTTCGAAATGTAAAAGAAGGAATCAAATAAATTTAATAAATATATTCCAAATTCAATCGACATTGAGAAGCTAAAGTTTTGAGGGCTAATTTTTTTTCAAAACTACTCGAGTGATTTTAAAATACTCGGCATTCTGACGCAATTTGGGTCGCAGAATTGAAACATGGGTAAAAATTAGTACGTCATTTCAGAAAAAGTCCGATTTTGTGCCAGAAAAACTTATGTTTGAACAATGCTATATATAAATCTAATATATGTCTTAAATCGCCCTTTCGAGGTTGAAAAATGAAAGTTAAAAAAATTTCATCAATTGGCTCAGTCGAACGGGAGATATAGAAGTGTCTCATTTTTTTATCGTGCAGAGTGCACATTCAGTGTTGCAGGACCAAGACTTTTCCTGAAAGGCACAATAAAGTTGCTACTGGATGATAAATCCAAGTAAATGTTATATTTAAAGATATTGTTACGAAATGTACAGGCGCGTTAAGATGGCTTCCTTGCAAAGCAGTTTTAGGGTTGCCATAAAATGGCAAAAGAAGGCAGAGTTACCCGATTTGGCGATAAATCGCTCATTTGGGAACAAAATTGGCGGTATGCCATGGACGGATGGAGAACCTTCTGGAACGAATTCTTACCGGTTTAGCCCAGAATGCTCTCGAACACCAGCCAAAAGCTATATAAACCCTGCCGTATCGAGTGTGGGAGTTAGTCAGTATCGAATGTGTGCCTCGTCGAGAGGGCGAGTCAGTGTGCTTCGCATAG